TCCTCTTCCCTTCAGGATTCCAAGTTAGCGCTTGTCTCGTAATGCAGTTTGATGATTTCCTTAATGTATGTCCTATCCATTTCCATCGTCTTTTCCTAATTTCCTCTTCAGCTGGAAGCTGGTTGGTTCTCTCCCACAAAAGACTGTTGCTGATGGTATCCGGCCAATGGATGTTGAGTATCATGCGTAGACAGCTATTGATAAATACTTGTACCTTCTTGATGGTGGTTGTTGTAGTTCTCCATGTTTCAGCTCCGTACAGTAGAACTGCCTTGACGTTGGTATTGAATATTCTGACCTTGATATTGGTTGAAAGTTGTTTTGAGTTCCATATGTTCTTCAGTTGAAGGAATGCTGTCCTTGCTTTGCCAATCCTCGCCTTTACGTCTGCATCTGAACCTCCTTGTTTGTCGACGATGCTTCCCGGGTATGTGAAGGATTCCACGTCTTCCAGAGTTTCGCCATCAAGAGTGATTGGATTGCTGTTCTCCGTGTTGTGTTTGAGGACCTTGGTTTTCCCTTTGTGTATGTTGAGGCCTACTGATGTAGAGACTGTTGCTATGCTGGCTGTCTTTATCTGCATTTGTTCGTGTGTATGCGATAGGACGGCTAGGTTATCTGCGAAGTCCAAGTCGCCTAATTGGTTCTGAGCTGTCCATTGTATTCCGTGTTTTCCCTCAGATGTCGAGGTCTTCATAATCCAGTCGACCACCATTTTCATGGCGTCATGCAATTGCAACCAATGCTTATCTATACTTTTCGGTGGAATGGTAGCTAGCCTAGAAGCTTGCTCTGTTCGGTACTTACTAGCAACAGAAGTTGCAGCCAGCTTGCTAACATCAATCCTTTGGTGGCGGTCACTTCGTTGGCCACTGAAAAGTAAGGTAAGATTGGCGCAGACCAGGGTATGATCAGAGTCCAGATAGGTACTTCGAAAGGAGCGGCAGTCTTGTACACAACCACGCCAGCGGTAGCTGATCGCGATGTGATCAATTTGAGTCCAGGCTTGAGATGCAGAAGGGGGACGCCAGGTGGCACATCGGCGATAACTGTGCCGAAAGTTAGTGCTAGCCAGAAACAGGTTGTGGTCTGTGCACATTTGTAGTAGACGGTCCCCGTTATCTGTCCTGCGAACAACAAGTCCCCATCGGCCACCTAAACGATTCTCTTCTGTGCCTAGACGCCCGACCTGAGTGTTCAAGTCTCCGGCTAGTACTACAATATCTGTCGAACGCCCTTTCTGGAGAAGAACAGTTAACTGGTGTTAGAATTCATTCTTGATTGCATCCGGGCTGCAATCTGTCGGAACATAGGCGGAGATGACGAAAAGACATCGTTTCTCACGCCCATTTCTTCTCACTTTGATGGAACTTTCTAGTCTAACAGCACATAACCGACTGTTAATGGGGATCCAGTCGATTAGTGCTGCCTCAGCTCTAGCGCTTAGTGAGACACCAACGCCAGCAAGACCAGACGAAGATGCCACAGTGTGTCCGGATAAACTCACGTAAAACAAGTTTTTCAAAGTGACAGATGGAGAGCGAATTTGTAGTACTTCACCAGAGTCTTGAATACGGGTCTCGGATAGACAACACACATCGATATCAAGACTTTCCAAAGACATAGCCAGCCCTATCTGTTGTCCGACCTGCATAATTGTGCGAACGTAGAAGGCAGCCAGTTTGAGTGGTGCACGTGGTTTCAGAAAAACTGCTTCAGTACTCGTATTCGATGGTAACATGCCACTTTCAACCAGGCAGTGACTCGAGAACGTTTAGATAGAGCCGAATGTCCACCATAGTCGAGCTGCTGTATAAGTCGAAAAATAAGTATAGACAGAGTGGGAATGAAAGAGAGTGAATAAATGACGTGGTAAATAATAATAATAATAATAATAATAATAATAATAATAATAATAATAATAATAATAATGTGAATTGTTTGACAGTAAATCTCAGTGAGAATAGAGTTTTCAGTGAATATCATCATTTTCATTATCATTATATTGGTATGTAGGCTGAGATACTGTCCGGGTGCCCAGACCGAAGCAGGTTATATTCATTCAACTAGGCACTGAATGCTCCATTGATTGGATCTTCAACTTGCCAAAATAACCTTTCTATTTCATTACTTAGTTCTTTTTTGTTCCTCAGTTCCAGTCAATTGAAAGCGGAAGTCAAATAACATGAGAGGACTTTTCAGCCGTTGTCTCTTTTCTCAGTAAGATTTGTCAGAGAATTTAAAAGTTAAGAACATTTTTTTCTTTGTCTGGTAATGAATTTTTTATTTTCTTTGACAATTAAGTTAATTTCCGAATTATTCATAGTCGTTCAAACTATTGGATTCGACATTCGATTGGATTTTACCAAAATTTTGTAAGGAGCTATGGAAATGATTGGTGTAGGTTTATGTTAGTATAGTTCAAAATTTACAGTTTAAACTGAAGCATAAGCATGTAGGTATTGGAACAAGACACCATTTACCATTATTTTGTTAATTTATTATTTGTGATAACACAACATTTGCACGAAAATTGGCTAGATAATTTCTTAAGGAAGCTGGCTCTAATTTATTAGAGATGAAAAATAATCACCAAATAAAGATTATGGTCAGAATTCGATAATTAAAGCATAAAAATTTCTCTCAAGGGACAGAGACTTTGATCATCCTATAATCCACTTAGAGCTGAGTTATCCCATTATGAACAGACACTAACAGAATAATAACTGCCTATTCCTCGGACTAGATAAATAACTGAAGTGGCTTACGTTAAGTCACGAAATGTCAGAAATGCAATTTCTCTACTTATTGGGATATAACAAAAATATATTTATAATCTAACCTGTTGACTCAGGCCACTTTTGAAAAACACTGTATGTCACAATGAGTTGATAGTTTTATCTCATTTGAAGATAAAATATCAAACAGATTATATCGCTGTCATTACTATCCGTATATGAGAAAAACAATAAATTGATAGTGTTTATGAAAACGCCATTGTAATGTTTGGGATATTTCGACTGGTCTATATAAAACGATTCTTAGTATGAACATTATACTTCTAGACTCAAAATGAAAAGTCTCCATGGCTTATAAACGTATTTAAATTATCTTACTATCCCAAAGGAATTAGCTATTACACTACGATAATCAAGCATGTGTGAACAAAAATGGGCAGTATGGGATCTGAATCTTGATATAGGCGGAATTCAACTCACTAAACAAAAACTTATGTATTCGGCTTCGAGAAGTATATTTATTGTAAGGACAGGTTAAACTACCTGACTACTCAAACCAAAGTCGACAGAAAGTCGGACCTTCAGCCTAATGTTATTTGAATAGTATAACCATTTAGCCAACTCTCTATCAATCCAAAAGTTAATACTAAGGAATCGCTCAATACTGTTGAAGGATAATTAATTTCTAATAAATGTAAGTTTGATATCGCTGAAATTCACGACTGAAAGATCACTGAATAATAACCGATGTTATGTATGTCAAGTCCTTTTTAGTGCTGATCTGATTTTATCAACCAAGCTACAAGCCAGCCACTAGTCCAAGTGGCTCCACATCACGTGAACCATGTTGAGTTAGAGGTACTGGTTTGAGGTAGTCGACAAGAAAGTCTGAACCTGCAGATCAATCGCGTCCCGGACATTTCAGTGGTAACGTTTCTGATTGTGAAGCTGGGTGACACGGAACCGAATTCCCAGGGAGCATGTTTGGAATTCGACATTATTTTCAATTTTAGAAGTGATCAACACAACTAGAGCTGATAGGCATTTTAAAAAAACTGATGGTTGGTTTAAATTTGATGAATACAGGGCATTTAGAGTGAAACATCCGAAAGTCCTAAGTTTTCTATTACTATTGGACAACAAAGCTGGAAACTACGATTGGTCCCAAAAATGATGAAACAACAACAATCAGATTGATACCTCCGCACTTACTACCTTTTCTAGGAAAATATGATGGCCAACGCTTTATGCTGATTTAGTGAGACTAGACCCGACTTTCACACCTTAAAAACCAAGCACCAGAGATTATAGCTGTCGGTAACGAATAAATGAATGCTTAAGTTTATTGATTGGAAATTGCTGTTTTGAGTTCAATGGAAATGAACTTGTTAATTACGCGGGCTACTTTTTACGAGACATTCGTGAATGGTTAACATAAGTTGACACTTACTAAACTACTACTGAAAAATAGACAGAGCATGGGAAATTAAATGTTGCTTTCTTGAAATCTAAAAAAACTGTAGCTATGATAAATGGCAAACAAGAGGCTAGTAGGACTATTTCTCCACTATTAATGATATTAAGAAAGTACACTAATCATTCAGTTAAAAAGTATTGTTAAATATAAAGTATTAACATCCTATCAATTGTCAAATACTAACTGAATGGAGCAATAGGATCACGGCTGAAGCTTTTCGAATCATACCATGTAGATATCACTCTCAGAATACTTTCGTAAAAACAGCATGATTTAAACCCGGAAGATTGAAGAGTGAGAATTTTGTTAGCGTACTTACATTGTAATAGAAAACTGTTTTCGACTGAATCACTGAGACAAATAAATTTTCACTTACACATTATTTATGGGACTAGATGTTTCTACAATAAATCTCTGATCTAGTGTCACGAAAAATAAATAAGATTGTTGATAAGGATTTTTGATGCCACATGGATTGCATGATTAACATGTATAATATGCTTATTTGTGGACTTACCAGCTCTTAGAAAGGAATGTATAAAAAGTATGCTTGATTGTCTAGTTGACTGTAGTTTGTAAGAAAACCATCAAACACTTAACTAATGACGCAATATTTTAAGAGTTCGAAGGGATCTATTAGTGCTAGATGTCTAAAGTTTTAACAGTTTTGATCTTATGAAATGAAATACATCTAAGCTTTTGCATGAGAGAGCTATGAATAAATAATTTAAAAGTGCGAGTATTATACATTACGATGAACTGCACTAAATTTATTAATGAATACACCTCAAACTGTACTTCGTGCTTCAGAAGCATTCACTTAATATAAAGCCTCTCCTAATAATCTGTGTGTTAAATGAAATAGACACATAATGTGTGAACATTTTTTATCGATATGACTACTCGAGTGAGCATAATCAAAAAACGTAAATATCTAGTTATTAAACCGAAATATGCATCGAACAAACTATATTCACCAACTGTCGCCAGTAATGAAAACCACAATAAAAACTAGTTTTTGGGAAAATGGAAAATTTTTAAGCGTTGGTTAATCACTGATTGTAAAAATGTACCATTTTTCATAATATAAACATGATTAATAAATATGGTTTACCATCGGGATAGCGAAAGATCTTGAGCTGAACAACACTTTACAAGCTATCAGTTTAATATTCAGAGAAAAATGAATTGTAAAAAAGCAGTAAATTGGGTATTATAAAGATACAGAGTAAATTTCATTGAAAGTGGAAAATAAAAGCCCTAGAGGTAGATAGAAAAGTTTAACGAAGGCAAAAACTCAGACATACAGCAAGACATTTGACGTCGATGAAAGGGATATTTTTCAGTATTTATTAAAATTGAAATGTAACAAGAAGACATGATTACAATTCATGTGACTAATTTGAAGTAGAACACTTCTTAACATCTAAGTCCATCATAGAATCCGTAATCTCATTTGTACTTAATGCATTAGAGACATTAAGGTCGTTTGGAGAGCGTGTACATTCAACAACACTGGATGGTACTGAAGAATGAGAGATAGAAGATACAGGAGATGAGCGCAGGACATGAGGAGAAGGAGGAATCGAAGATGGGCTACTGGAGTTATTGAAGTTTGTAGTTACAGAAAAAAGTTGACATGATGGGCTAGAAGGACTTGATACTACAGGTAAACTCGGTGGCCAACGGAAATAGGGGAAGTCAGAATATGGATTTGTGCCACTGCTACATATCCGAACATCATTTTGACATGAAGATTTGTTATTTCTATGACAACACGAAGATTCTGGAGATCCCTCACGACTAGCATCATCACTGGAACCTGCACCTCCAGACACACAAGACAAATATCCTCGTTTGCGTCCAAGAGCAGCTGAAACAAGCAAAGGACTTGCACCACCGGTATTGCTAAACCGACGGGGATTTGGAGAAACAGTTGAGGTTGGTAAAGAAGGTGAATAACACTGAACGCGTGAAGAGACAGGTGATGCAACCGGTGACGGATAGCAAGAAGATGATCGAGGAAAATGAGGAGGACTCGAAGGCATACCCTTATTAGAACCGGCGGCAACAGAAGGACCACAGTTGTTAACCCCAGAACAGATAGGATAAGAACAAGTGACGGAAATTACCAGAGGCCCACTAAAAGAACTTGGACGATGATTAGGGCTGCTATTCACAGATGTAGAAGACGATGAACAATCTCTATCGCTAGATTCACTGCAAGAAACACTTAGACCAGCCCATGAAGATGACAATCGAGAAGTTTCTGTTAGAAGCTTTTCGTGTTTTACTTCGTTTTCTACATGATCTTCAGCAGTCACATAATAATGGGCAGAACAACGTCTGACCGCTTTGCGCTTCAGCATTCAATTACAAGAATTATAAATGTATCACAGAAAATAGATTGCTGTAAGTATAAAGAGTTTAAATGGGCATGCTTCTATAAGGCATTCATTTATGGTAACTGAGAAAATGAATAAGAATGTTCATCCATAAACTTATTTACTTGCGAAATGCACATCTTTAACTAGAAAAGTGTAAATAAAATGGATGAAATGGACTATCCATACAAATGAGAAACATATGTAACATGGCACGTTAATACATTTGCCTGACGTTAAGAAGCTATTGTTGGGTGGATTTCCTTTTTAATGTCCGAATGTTATTTTTAAGAATCCACTGAAAAACAGAAAACAGGGTATAAGGTTAAATCTCAAAATAAATCTAGATTATTCTAATAAAGACCCCCAACAATTAAAAAGATTATTGTACTTTAGACTCAAACACCTATCTAGTTAACAGACAGTCAGTCAACTACAACGTAGGATCAGGCACATATGTGCATCAGTCCAAGTTGCCACACCTCATTAGCACAACAACACAAACACCGGATTCATAGGAGTAGCTAAGTCAATGGTGGTAATATATAAAAGAAAGATTGCATATAAGGATTTAATACAAGAAGAAAGAATTAGTTCGTAGAAAGAAAGATATGAAATAATTTTAATCTCATAGTTTAAGGGAAGACAAAGAGTGTATACATCTACGCCATTGTGATCGATTCTGAGACATGTCACACAGAAAATCCAACCACTCATTACGACAGTCGCGCGGATCCCCACCAAGTAGTCTGCATCTACCAACGTGGCTAAGACTAGAAGTTAGTGACTTCAAGCACTGATGCCACGTTTTGGTTTCGCTGCCCCTAACTTTCTTCCAACCATCCCCAACCCTAGACAGCATTGCGCGTTGTGGTAATCGGTGCTCAGGCATACGTAATACGTGACCCAACCATTTCAGTCGATCAAGATTCCTAACCTAGTCAACTGATTTACCATCATTTTCTAATACCCCACGTCTAACCTCTCTATTACTTACCCGGTGATTCCAGCAGATGCGAGCAATATTTCTAAGGCATCTATGGTCAAATACTAGTAGCTTACGAGTATCTTCTACTCTGAATGATCATGTTTCGCTGCTGTTAATTAAAACAGAACGAACTGCAGCGCAGTATACTTGTCCCTGAATTGATAGACGGATATCTCGCCCCCGCCGTAGGTGACGTTAATTGGCAAAAGCCGGACGAGACTTTTGAATCTGTACAGAGATTTCGTAAGACACCAACTTATTTGGGCTGATCAGACTTCCAAGATAAGTGAAGTTGCCGATGCGTTCGACTACGTCACTTTCTATCCTTAGTTTAAGTGTTGACGCAGGCCAGTCCTGAAGCAACAACTTGCATTTAAAGGGAAAGAAACGCATCCCAAACATCCTGGCATTGTTGCTCAGTGCTACCAAAAGACTGTGCATTTTATCAGCGTCTTCACCAAACAGGACTATATCATTTGCGTATTTTAAGTCGATAAGTGGACCTCCTGGTAGGAGATCGACGCCCGAAAATTCAGTCGATGAAAGCGTTATTTCCATCAGTATGTCTGATGAAGCTAAACAAAAATGAAGAAAGTGGACAGCCTTGACGGACAACACTTGAGGTTGCAAAAGCAGATGACAGTTCGTCGTAAGCTCACACTCGACTAGTAGTCTTCGAGTAAAGAACCTTCACAATGTTTATGTACTTCTGAGGTACGCCTTGCAATGACAGACACTGCCATAGAACCTCTCCACTTACAGAGTCAATTGCCGCTTTAAAGTCAAGAAAGACCACCATTGTCGGACGCCGATAAGCATGTCTGTGTTCTAAAACCTGACGAATGGTGAATATGTGGTTGATGCAGCCACGACCAGGTCTGAAACCAACCTGATCTTCCCGTGTTTGCAGTGCACGAGTCTTAGTCAGGCGTCCGATAATTATTGAGGTTAGTATTTTAGATGTTATATTAGTCAAACTAGCCCCTCTATGGTCATCACAGGATGATTCTGACCCCTTCTTATATATCGGGACAATAGGTGATTGTGAACAGTCAGATGGGATTACATCCAGTTCCCAGATTTTAGGCAACCCAAGAGCTAAAACTGGACCACTAACCTTAAAGACCTCTGGAGCCAATTCATTTGGACCAGCTGCTCTTCCTCGTTTCACATTAGCTATAGCCTTTTCAACTTCAACTAGAGTCGGATGACCTACTTCATGTTGTTTGCGAATGGTGGGTAGTTGCAGAATAGCTGGACGCCAGTTGAACTGCCCCCTAGTGTTCCGCCCAAAGTTTTACACGTCTGGAATGAGAGCAGATAAGATTGTCGTCTTTTCTGAGACCATATCACTTACACTTGATTTCTTAATTCAAATTTCCTTTATTATTCTGGAAAACTGAGAGTACAGAGAGTCAGCTCTCCATCTCGAAACGCTATCACATGGCCATGTGCATGCAACAACTACTACCAGGAAAGTCCTACTCACTGCTTTCTCGCAGCATTACTGCTATTTATGAAATCGAGAGAACGAAAAGCGAATGTCCGGCGCTTATACGGGGTTGGTAGATACGGAAATTCCACCTAGAGGAGTTGGAAATCCCTGGTTACAAACCAATGGTGCATATGGGCTCCAGGATCCTGAATGAACAAATGGCGTATGAAACTACTGTTAGTGAACGGCATCCATAAAATCGCACCTCTTAATGTTGTTCTACTGCTCGTGAAAACCTCACGAGTTAGACTTTATTACACTAGGGTTTCCTCTATTTTATTTCAACTGTAGCTCGTACAACATCCTTAAATTGATGTTAGAAATGAGTGGATAAGGCAAACATATTTTGAGTTGTGTCGGAACACTACATATACCAGACAACCTACAGACTGTCTAAACGACAATTTGGTGTAAGTGACAGCACTGTCACAGCCTGAATAAAAGCTACATAAACTCAAAGGATAAATGTAGAAAACCTTTGATGTTCTCTAGCATAATCTGATGAGACAGTACACCAGGAAAATAAAGGCAACTGTTTCGAGGTTAGTATTTTTGCCCTGTGGTCTCAACTTAGTGATTTACACAAGGCTCAAGCCTTGCATGCAAATTTGATCGTGGTTATTACGATGATCGCGTTTAGATGATACGATACATTTTCATTATTGCCATTCGTGAATTAAAATAACGGTTTTGAGCACTCTCAAATTTCTGATTGAGCGATAACACTTTACTAATACATCCAAGAAACCGGACTGCGAAGGAAAATAAACGTTAAGACACCTGACTGGTTAAAGAAGCGTACGCTTCCTATTAGGCGGCAGATACTAAATGGTTCAAACGGTTCAAATGGTTGTGGACGGAAAAGAAGAAACTTTAGCTTAACATGCTTCCGTGTCTAGTAGCAGGGGATCACCAATACCTCCAGGCAAGAACCTAGGTATATTAACGATAAAAGAGAAAAGAAAAAAGAATAGATCAAATCGCCTCTCATAGGACTCCCGGGAAGTTGCTTGGACTAGCTCAGCCGGCAACAAATCCTAGCACTCGACAACTCTTAAAGAGTAGAAGTTGTGTCTGCAGTCTGTTCTACTATGTTGTATCTCCAATTTCTGGTTGTTACCCCTTAGGTTAGTGTTGGGACTAAGCTTAAGTAGGTGTTTAAGAGGATGTCCAGAAGTGTTAAGGATACTGTAAGCCATTAGAAGGTCACCTCTAAGACGCCTATATTCTAATGGGTAAAGGTCAAGTGACTAGAGGCGCTCTTCGTAAGGTTTATATTTCAGTCCCCGAACTGATTTCGTGGCTAGTCGTTGGATACGCTCCAGAGTGTCCTTATCCTTTAGGAGTGAGGGGGGGAATACTATATTTCCGTACTCTAAATGGGGACGAATAAAACTGTTGGAGATTATGTGGAAAGTTCTTCTGTCAAACTGGCCAGAAATGCGCTTCAATGTTATCAGTGCCAGGTTCGCTCGAAAGGCATTTCTGTCACAGTTGGCGTAAGACTTTAAGTCGTAGGGCACCAGAACTCCTAAATCTTTTTCGACTCGGGATACTACTAGAGAGGAGTTTCCTAAGTTGTAACTGTAATCTGCGACGTGTCGCAAATGGACTACTTTACACTTGGAAGTGTTAAAGGTAAGTCCGTTATCGTCTGCCCAAATCTGAAGTCAAGTCAGATCCTCCTGAAGTGCCAGTATATCCTCTTGGTTGCGTATCTCTCTCCAAAGTTTTACATCATCGGCAAAAAGTAATAAGTCTTACGTTACCTGTTGAGGAAGATCATTTATATAAATCAGGAAGAGAAGAGGTCCTAGTACTGAGCCCTGGGGGACCCCAATAGGACATTCCATAGTCTGTGATAAATTTAAGTTTATCCTGACCCTAAAATGTCGATTTTTCGGATATTTACTGAGCCAGTCAATTACAGGTGGTTCGACACCCAATTGTTTGATCTTATTGACGAGACATATGTGATTAACCCTATCAAAAGCTTTTGAGAAATCAAGGTAAATGATATCCACCTTCCCCTTGCGATCAAGGATGCTTGTCCATCTGTCCATCGCAGTCATCAGGTTGGTTATACAAGAGTAACCGTTCCTGAAACCATGCTGTTTGGATGAGAAGAAATTTAAGGACAGCAGATAGTCATGTACACCATCGTATATTAGGAACTCCATGATTTTTGAAGGTATAGAGAGAAGAGCCACCGGTCGGTAACTTGAAGGTTCGCTGCGTCGACCTCCTTTGGAAATTGGTGCGATATGAGCCGGCTTCCAAATATCCGGTAGTTTGCCTCAACTTAGCAAGTGTGAGAGCATCACGCTAAGCGGTGTTGCCAGGATTGAAGCTGCTTCCCTCAGTATAGCAGAATGGACCATATCTGGGTCAGGAGAAGTGTGTTCTTAGATGCTGCAGTTTTCGGAATACCAAGTCAGCGCTCAGTTTCACTACGGAAAGTCCTGTGCAGTTACAGACGAAGCTTTCATCAGTATACTTGATGTGGGTTGGTTGAAATGTCCGGGAGTATTGCTCAGCCAGAAGGTTAGTGGCGTTACCATCGTTATCGGTCGGGCCGTTAGAACCTTGCAGTTGAGAAACTCCAGTTTTGGCTTGACGAAGAGAGGCTGCTTCGTTTAGTTCATCCATTTTGTTTGGTAGACTTGCGGCGTTCATGTATAAGCAGTTTATGCTTTCAAATTGAAACGCGTGAGCTTCTTTCTGTTTATCTGTATGAGCCTTACGTGAGTAGACTGGTAGCCTACCTATATAAGGTTTGCCGAATTAGAAGGCCACGTCCTTTACACGTTTTTTACCTTCAAGACGGTCCACAAGTGGAATGGTCAGCTCCAGCTTGCCTTTTTGCTTGAACCCGGCGCCATATGGCCTGTCCGGGTGCATGTGGATCCCAGTTAGCAACCGACGTCTGTTGACACGAAATACTTCCAGAGCTGCAGCCGCCATATGGGAAGATGGGAAAGTTATTCTCATTAGTCGGGGTCTAGAATCACCGTCCTTCTTGGCTAGTCTCGTCACATGCTGAGTCAGTATGTTTTGGGGCCTCAGGGATTGTTTGATGAATTTCCATTCCCGAATGTCAGAGTTTGCTTGACCAGGGTCCGTGTTTTCCGGTACGCCTTGCACAATGATATATCTTCCGCGGGAGAACTTCTCTCGAGATTCTTTAGGGATATTCCGGATGAGATTGCGCTAAGAATACTGTATGTCGGGCAGTATTCCTACGTTCCCATCGGATTTCAGTAAATGACATCCTCTACTTCTGTAGCATTCTTGAGTGTTACACGAAGTAGTCTCGGGTGATTTTAATGCTAAGATTCCCTTCCCCGAGTGAGCCGTGTGACCGTCAAAGGCTCTTTTCTAGGAAGTTTAAGCTTTTTGTTCAATTCACCCAAGAGCATCCTGTCATTTTTGTTCTGCAAACTGAGAGGAAGATCAGGGTTGTCTTTGAGGTACATGATTATGAGAGAGTCCTCACGGACCGTTATTGTTTTCCCAGGTTTTCCAGTGCGTTCAGGTTCAGCACGTTGTTGTTTGGAGGTTGAAGCAGGTATCTGAATCCTAGGCTTTTTGACAATTGGGCAGACATTTTTGGGGGTAGAATGAGCGATCAAATCACCAGTTGATTTCCGTACAACACTTGGTATGTTTAGCTTAGACGGTGACGCCTGGACATTTTCAGCTCTGCTAACGTGGGCCCAATCACCTGCAGAGTTTTTGGGAACCACTGTTGCATTTAGGGACCCTGAGCTGGGATACCCGAGTTTACTGAGGGAGTCTATTACCGTCGACGTAATGACTGTACTGAGCTTCAACATGTCATCATTAAAGCTAGTGCATTCTTCATCGATGGTAAACCTATCGACATCCCTATTCTTGTTTTCACTACGTACCCTTGTTTGTCTACCTGTTTTATGACTATATTTTTCCAGGTTTGCTGACAACGTATTCTGCAGACCTGTCAATAGGACAATGATGTTACTCAGCAATACTACAGCATCCGTGCTGTACGTAACACATACCCACTTGTGATCCGACTTGCTGAGTCTGTTGTAAGCAGTTGCCATGAGATCTGTTCATGCTTCATGGAACCAACCTTTGCAGTTGTCGCACTGCATGCCAGATGTAACAGCGAAACGGCATTCAGGTCGTTTGAATGAATTTTTCATGACTGTATTGACGTAAACTGTATTATAGATGCCAACGAAAGCCTAAGACCATTAAAAATACACTAAAAACGGGAAAATTGATAAAAGTGGATGAGATAAACTGAACTAGCCCTTATGTGAAAAACTGAAAAAAACCGGATAGTAAGCTGAGGCAAAACCACAGTTAACTATTAAATTGAGCGAAACTCAAAAAAAGTAATCTACCGAACGTATAGCTCAGGATAGATTCTGTAGATCAGAACTGCTACTTTTGCTGCGTAAGAACACAGCAAAAGTTTGAGAAATGCAAACCACGTTAAGACTAAACTTTAGCCTTCTGTACCTAAGAAAGAAGGTCAGTCGACCCATATCAATCCTTGAAATTTTTAGTGTTGTGGTGATTCAACCTAGCTCTGAATACATCAACAGAAGGAGCTGATATTACGCGTTCTGGCAATTTACTACTCAGTGAAACGGAAACCCAAATTTAAACGACACTATTTCGGTTTTCGAAATGCTTTGGAATGTTCCGTCAAATGGCCAGCCCTAGATTAAAGGAAAATGTAAAACATAACAGTGAAAAAATCATCGTTCTGCATACGGTAAGCTAATATAAGATCACCACGTATCCTGCGGTGAGATAACGGAAATGGGCTGAGATATCTCAGTCTATCTTTATACGACAGACAAGAGAAATCTCTCGGCATCACCTCAGTAATCTTTCTGACATATCAGTCGCATACTTGAAATAAGGACTCTCTGGATTAAAGATTATTCCATGTGAATAGTCTTTTCCATTAGCTTTACAAATACATTGGTTAAACTAAGGGGTCGGTAGTTAATAACCAAGTCTCCACTCCCCACTTTGTAAACCTGACTGATTATTGAGTCCTTTAGGTGACTTTGTGTACCGAACTGCAACAAAAACAAATCAAACAGTATTGTCAGAGGACTAGTATATACATCCGCTAGGGTTTTCATGATCCTAGAATGAATATCTTTAGGACCACTGAACATATCTGGTTTGAGATATTGAAGTAATCATTAGACCACAAGATTTATCGACAAGCTGCAACCAACACGATTATCATTGGTCTTTCACCATCACCAGTTCTTTAAAATACTCTGATAAATCTTCAGCTTTCACGGTACCATTCCTTGCAAATATTGATAGATTTTCTTGTACCAAATGTAGTGGGATCCCATCTGTTCTCTTAGTCGATATACGAGAACAACCTTTTAGGACTATTTTCATAATCCCTAGAGGACTGTTTTTTTGGAAATATCCAACCTTATTTATTAGCGATTTGCAAGCATTCCTAGCCTTACAATAAATTGATCTACACTGTTCGGAACCTGTAGAGATAAATTTAATCTAATGCTAGTTCCCGCATTCAAGACGTTTCTTGATCCGCTTAATTATGTATGGTGGTCAGTTATTCGGTCTATATGGTGCTACGAGTTGTGTGAAAGGTGGTATATTAAAGCTATTGTAACGACCGAACTACCAGTATTCGGTTTGAACGCAAGACTGACGAACCAAAAAGTATTCGAATAGGTCAGACTACGATCTTCCGTATAGCACATCAAGCGTTTTTGAGACACTCTTATTAAATTATATCAAAACACAAATTCTGTGCTCAATTTATACGGTTCTAATTTAAGAAATAGAACAAATTATATCAAAAATACAAAATACCTCAAACGGTACAACCTGTGCTATACAGTCAGAAGTTTCTCTAACGCACAGTAGTGCGCTAAACAACAAAAAAACACAGT